CCGAGGGGGTCTAAGGAAAGCACTGTCTTCTCTCGCTAGGAAACCGGGATCGTGGGTTCGGATCTGTTTCCTGTCAGGTACGAACTGAATTCTTATATATTATTCTTATACACTGCCGGTCACGGTAGCCGAGCGGTCTACGGCATGTACTGTCTTCACTCGCTCGGAAGCTGGGATCGTGGGTTTGAATCTCACTCAGGGCATGGATGTTAGGTGTGCGTTTTTCTGTGTTTGTGTACAGTTAGAGGCTGATCACCCGCCCAAGGAGTCCTACCGAATGTCTAAGATCTAGTAAACCGAAGTGAAACGGAGAGTTTTATGGAGGTAGGCCTAGGCCCAAACTGGGGCTGTAGCGCCAAGGAAAAAAGAACGTAAAAAGCTAACACGGTGTCACAACTCGGAACTTAAGAACCTGAGGATTATTGGATTCAGCCTTAGGTTATATTATACTTAACCTGTTCAGTCCATTTCTAAAATAAATAAGACAAGCTAACGAATTCCAGAAAAAAAACGCTAATTTCATTTCTCCCGTTGTGAAATCTTTATTGAATTAAATTTTGTAAGAGTTTCTTAGGAAACAATTTCGAATTTTGAATAGAAAAGACGAAATTTAAATATACCGTTGTTGATCTCTTCCGCCGTTCTTTGATTTTCGGGATCATACCGTGGCATGCCGATAAAACAAAACATGTCTTAGCTTTCAAATAAAATCCATGTAAACGTAAAGTTTTAAAATACGTATGAAAGTTATGAGAAAGCTGTATTCCAGTGTGCTGGCTGGTTTATATGCGCGCCAGCGCCTGTGATTTTTGTGTCTTTGATGAAATTCAAATTACGAGGTCTATTAATAGGGAATAAATTAAATAAATTTAATTAAACTGTTTATTTATGAGACTGCCGGGGTTTCTATCACTGACTATGGCTAAGACAGCAAAATTTAACAGTGGGAAACGGTGTGTATTAAGTGATGATATGACAGGCTGTTTATGAGTATGTTAGTGGTATTCTAAAACAACAACCCCAATGAAATACTCTATACTAAGTCAATTAAACAAACTTTTCAACGTTGTTAAGCAATATGACAATGTTAGAGATGCTATCATCTCTTTCGATATCGCGAAAGGCGCCACAAAGATAGAAGTTGGCTTTCTCCGTCATAACGTGGTCACTCCGACAGGCTACGTGAAGTACGAAGGCGTACACAATATCCCAAGTGTTAAAGCACAAGTGGCGAGAGCATTTATCAAACGCGTACTTTCTGTTGCAATACACATGATGTTAAACTAGAGGGTAAACCACTGTTCACTACATTTCGTCAAATATTCACTTAATTGAAAAATATTTATATTAAATATTGTTGATATCCATGAAATTTAAGTTTCGCGCGTTTGCCAAAGATTAGTTGTTTATAACCCGATTAAAGTCAATATGAAATGTAGCTCTTAATCCATCGATAGGGACCAAGATTAAATTCGTAATATAGCTTTTAATCTGGAATTTCCCCTCATATATTTTCTTGAAAATTCTATGGTCAATTAAAGAAATCTAAAAAGAAGCTAATTATCGTATACACAGACGAGACCTCTCACATGCGTTCACTTTATATGTATATATATATACATACATACGTCATCCTATTAATATATAAAACTATTTTATACACATTCATATTTCCTCAGACACACACACTGAGTTCTTAAAAGGGAGAAATCAATAAAAGCGCACTTAGAACAATGACTGTGCACTACGATGAATACAACCTTTTTCTTTAAATACTTATGGTTACAAAGTGAGATCTCTTTTCTATTAAGGATGAAATTAAAACATGTAGTGTCAACAGGACATTAGAAAACAACTGTCTGATTCAGACAAACGTACAATGTAGAAAAACACTATTTCCCCAAAGGCACCAAATTAATCTTGAGCTGACAGGTGACTTAGCAGCCAAAGATAACAGAGCTGTGTCTCTCACTATTTCCTTTCTACACTACAAAAAAAAAATGACTGAGCTGTCAGTAAGAAATGTTAAACACACAAGAAACAGAGGTTAGAAAACCACATGTATGAAGCCTTCAGGTAACGTCACTCTTTATGATAGACACTCACACGAAAACTGGGCCCAAGGCGAGGAAGCTTGTGTCCTCTTGTCGGTCCGCAACGACAAAACTACGCCACCACGTGCTGGAGAGAACGTTTTGCTGTACTACTGTGTTGCCGTTTGTTATGTGTGTGTATGTGTGTGTGGGGGTTTCAGTGGAGCATCTTTCTCCCGCGGCATTCCCCCCTTCTCTTCTCCCCCACTTCTATCACCCCTCTTTGCCATCTTTCGCTGCTCCGCACTTTCGCGAACCCTAATGCTATGGCATGGCATTAAGATAACATGAAATCAAACATTACGATTGCGTTACGAATGAGCTTTGAAGTTTCAACGGCATATTTAAAAAACATTTGTATCTTGCCCATCCAGCTTACTCATTCCATTACAAGTTCTTGAAAATAACCACATTTAGTAATTAAAATGCGAACAATCCTTCCCTCAGATCAAAATTACATAATTATTATCTATCGATAATGAAAGAAAGAGAAACTAACCTCGAAATACACTTCTAACCCTTTGTTCTGACATTAAAATGTAATTACAACAATTGCTGAATAATGAACCTATGCCGATCACAGTGGCCGTACGGTCTAATGTATGAACCGCCTTCGCTCGCTCGAACGCTGGGATCGTGGGTTCCAACTCCACTCAAAGCATGGATATCTGCAATTATTCTGTATACGTGTAAGTAGATGTCTTGCTACGGGCTGTTCCCCCGTCCAAGGAGTCCTACCGGCTGTCTAAAGGCCCGTCCACATTACTCGTGCTCGTGTGAGTCACTATGCTCGCGAGTAATATGGAAGATATGACAAGTCACGAGACAAGCTAATTTTAAATTTTTAATTTAAGAACTATAGCCAATAAATTAAAATACGACTACAGCCTATACACACTACGAGTAAGTATACGGATCCTCACGCGCCGAAGCCTGGCGAGGTACTGAAGTAGTGTAGACGAAGATTTACGAGCACAAGTAAAAGCCAGACGAGTCTCCCGATGAGCACAAGCCTGGCGAGCACGAGCACGAGTAATGTAGACGCGCCTTTAGGATTAAGAAACTGAAGTGAAACAAAGCGTCTCACGGATGCCCTATGCTCCCAAGTAGGAGTAACAGGGAAGAAAGAGATAAAGCACCTACAATTCTAGGAACCCAACCACACAAATATTGTACTTTGGTCCTAATGAAAGCGGCTTCACTACAACAGTATGCGAAATATAAAACAAGTCGCCAGCATATATTTAACAACACATGATATCTGACGAATAAAAAAAAAAATAGCAGAGGAATCGAAATTCCTCATCTGTGCATTTCGATGAAACCCCAGGGACCTTTATATTACTATGTCTTCTTATGAACTGAACAAGCTAATAGTCGCAATCTTATCAACACACGAAATGTTTTTCAAAATCTTGAATTGTGCTATAAACAAAATGTATATATTGCAAGCATTTAGCTTCATATATATTTTTGTGTTAATATAAAATGTAAAATCACCAAATAATTTTATATGATTCATTTTCTTATGCTATTGAAACTAACTCTTCACCCTTCATGGCTCCCACAGAATCACAGTACTAATAATGTAAGGAACGATCCTGAAACCGGAACACAC